CAGGGTCTCTCTCTGTCACCCAAGCTGGAGTCCAGTGGCATGATCACAGCTCACTGTAGCCTTAACCTTCTGGGCTCAAGTAACTCTCCCACCTCAGTCTCCCAAGTAGCTGGGACTACAGGCTTGTGCCATCATGCCTGGCTAATTTTTGTAGAGATGGGGTTTCACCACATTGCCCAGGTTGGTCTCAAACTCCTTGGCTCAAGGAATCCTCCCCACTTGACTTCCCAAAGTGTTGTGTTGGGATTACAGGCGTGAGCCACTGTACCTGGCCCAGGTTAGAGTGCAATGGCACAACCTCAGCTCACTGCAACCTCTGCCTTCTGGGCTCAAATGATTTTCCTACCTCAGCCTCCCAAGTAGCTGAGATTACAGGCACCTGCCAGCACACCCAGCTAATTTTCGTATTTTTAGTAGAGATGGGGTTTCGGCATGTTGGCCAGGCTGGTCTCAAACTCCTGACCTGGTAATCTGTCTGCCTCAGCCTCCCAAAGCGCTGGGATTACAGTTGTGAGCCTCTGCATCCAGCTGGCCTGTCATCTTTCGAATGGCTCATACTAACAGTAGCATGCATCATTCATCTGGGAAAAATGTGATCCCTCGCAAGAAGCCAGACCTTTTAAGTTGGTCTGGGGAGGAAAGAAAACCCCTAATTTTCTTAAATGTGCTCAGGAATGGGCACGTGACCTGGGTTCTGCCAATGAGATTTGTCTTTGGGAGGCGAGGTTTCAGAATGACTGATGGGAGGCAATGTGTTGGTTCATCATAGAGGTTCTACTTTACTGGTACAGGAAGGTGGTGGCAGCTCAGGAGACTGAGGCAGGAGAATTGCTTGAACCTGGGAGGCATGGGAGGCAGAGGTTGCAGTGAGCCAAGATTGTGCCACTGGAACGCAGTGGTGTGATCACTGCTCACTGCAGCTTTGACCTCCTGGGCTCAAGCAATCCTCCCACCTCAGGCTCCCAAGTAGCTGGGACTACAGGCATATGCTACCACACCTATTTTTTTTTTTTTTTTTTTTTTTGGTAGAGGCAGAGTTTCACCATGTTTCCCAGGTTGGTCTCAAACTCCTCGGCTCAAGTGATCCTCCTGACTCAGCCTCTCAAAATGTAGGGATTATAGGCATGAGCCACCATGCCTAGCCAATCAAAAAGATTTTTTTTTTTGAGATGGGGTTTTGCTCTTGTTGCCCAGGCTAGAGTGCAATGGCTCATTCTCGGCTCACCGAAACCTACACCTCCTGGGTTCAAGCGATTCTCCTGTCTCAGCCTACTAGGTAGCTGGGATTACAGTCATGTGCCACCATGTCTGGCTAATTTTTTCTATTTTTAGTAGGGATGGGGTTTCACCATGTTGGCCAGGATGGTCTCAATCTCTTGATCTCGTGATCCACCCACCTTGGCCTCCCAAAGTGTTGGGATTACAGGCGTGAACCACTATGCCCGGCCAAAAAGATTTTTAAAAAACATTTACTTAGGTGGCTAGCCCAAAATATTATTATTACCATTACAACAAAGGGCCATTGAATAATCATTACAATAACTTTATTAACAGATAACATTTACAAACATAAAGTGCACTGTGCAGAAATTAAGAATTTACTGATATTTTCTGGTAACCTTCTCATTGACCAATATTAAAAATGGTTTTGTTCATCTATGTTGCTGTAATGCAGTTAGGCCTCTTACATCTAATTCCCACCTTTTTTTTTCTCTGAGATGGAGTCTCGCTTTTGTTGCCCAGGCTGGAGTGCAGTGGCACGATCTCGGCTCACTGCAACCTCTGCCTCCTGGGTTCAAGCAATTCTCCTGCCTCAGCCTCCCAAGGCGCCCGCCACCATGCCTGGCTGATTTTTGTATTTTTAGTAGAGATGGGGTTTCACCACGTTGGTCAGGCTGGTCTACAACTCCTGACCTGTGATCTGCCCACCTCGGCTTCCCAAAGTGCTAGGATTACAGGTGTAAGCCACCGTGCCTGGCCTATTTCCCACATTTAACAAGAGTCACAAAATTACTGACTTCTAAAATGTTTTTGGAACTATAGCTCTTATTATTAAGCTACATTTCATACTGTTCACTTTTATTTACCGTGATACTATCATTGTAGAAGCCAAATGACAACTCATTAAATAAAATAATCACATATTATGCCAATTAATGCTGCACCATCTAAGCGGAAAGGCCCAAAATTTCCTTTTGAAGGTGTAGTTTTATTTGTTTTTTTTTGAGACGGAGTTTTTGCTCTTGTTGCTCAGGCTGGAGTGCAATGGCGCGATCTCGGCTCACCGCAACCTCCGCCTCCCGGGTTCAGGCAATTCTCCTGCCTCAGCCTC